GCGGTGCCCCACTCCGCTGGACCCACCAGCAGCCGTCGAAAATAGCAGCAATTTCGCAGATCGCAGCCCCCCAAGGACGGGGAGGTCCCGCTCAGGTCCGCCCGGTGCCCCACTTCGCTGGACCCAGCAGCAGCCCTCGAAAGTGGCGACAATTTCGCAGATTGCAGCCCCCCAGGGACGGGGAGGTCCCGCTCAGGCCCGCGCGGTGCCCCACTTCGCAAGACCCGCCAGCAGCCCTAGAAAGTGGCGACAATTTCGCAGATCGCAGCCCCCCAGGGACGGGGAGGTCCCGCCCAAGTCCGCGCGGTGCCTCACTCCGCTGGACCCACCAGTAGCCCTCGAAAGTGGCGACAGCGTCGCAGATCGCAGCCCCCCAGGAACGGGGAGGTCCCGCTCAGGTCCGCGCGGTGCCTCACTCCGCTGGACCCAACAGCAGCCAATTTCGCAGATCGCAGCCCCCCCAGGGACGGGGAGGTCCCGCTCAGGTCCGCGCGGTGCCTCACTCCGCTGGACCCAACAGCAGCCAATTTCGCAGATCGCAGCCCCCCCAGGGACGGGGAGGTCCCGCTCAGGTCCGCGCGATGCCTCACCCCGCTGGACCCACCAGCAGCCCTCGAAAGTGGCGACAATTTCGCAGATCGCAGCCCCAGGGACGGGGAGGTCCCGCTCAGGTCCGCGCGGTGCCTCACTCCGCTGGACCCACCAGCAGCCCTCGGAAGTGGCGACAACTTCGCAAATCGCAGCCCCCCAGGGACGGGGAGGTCCCGCTCAAGTCCGCGCGGTGCCTCACCCCGCTGGACCCACGAGGTCCCGCTCAGGCCCGCGCGGTGCCCCACTCCGCTTGACCCACCAGCAGCCCTCGAAAGTGGCGACAATTTCGCAGATCGCAGCCCCCCAGGGACGGGGAAGTCCCGCTCAGGCCCGCGCGGTGCCTCAGTCCGCTGGACCCACCAGCAGCCCTCGAAAGTGGCGACAGCGTCGCAGATCGCAGCCCCCCAGGGACGGGGAGGTCCCGCCCAGGTCCGCGCGGTGCCTCACTCCGCTGGACCCACCAGCAGCCGTCGAAAGTGGCGATAATTTCGTTAATCGCAGCCCCCAGGGACGGGGAGGTCCCGCTCAGGCCCGCGCGGTGCCTCACCCCGCTGGACCCAACAGCAGCCCTCGAAAGTGGCGACAATTTCGCAAATCGCAGCCCCCCAGGGATGGGGAGGTCCCGCTCAGGTCCGCGCGGTGCCTCACTCCGCTGGATCCAACAGCAGCCCTCGAAAATGGTGACAGCGCCGCAGATCGCAGCCCCCCAGGGACGGGGAGGTCCCGCTCAGGTCCGCACGGTGCCTCACTCCGCTGGACCCACCAGCAGCCCTCGAAAATAGCGACAATTTCGCAGATCGCAGCCCCCCAGGGACAAGGAGGTCCCGCTCAGGTCCGCGCGGTGCCCCACTCCGCAGGACCCACCAGCAGCCGTCGAAAGTGGCGACAATTTCGCACATTGCAGCCCCCCAGAGACAGGGGAGGTCCCGCTCAGGTCCGCGCGGCGCCTCACTCCGCTGGATCCACCAGCAGCCCTCGAAAGTAGCGACAGATTCGCAGATCGCAGCCGCCCCCAGGGACGGCAAGGGCTCGCGGGAGACAGGAGGCGGGAGGCAGGAGGCGGGCTGAGAAGGACGCGACCGCAGTGGTCTATTCAAAACGAATACCCAACCAAGGAGGGTTGGGAGTAACGAGTAAGCATAAGAGTTCCAGCAGTAGTAGGAAACAACTATTACGGAACAGACATCGCACCCCTCGGTCGTTTCGCCAGTCTTTCGGGAGCTCCCCCGCAGCTCATTGCCCCACGCCCATGACGGCAGAGAGGCGGCGGCTGCGGCGGCGGCGGCGACGGCGGTGGCGGCGGAAGCGACGACGACGACGACGACGACGACGACGACGACGTCGTTGACGACGACGTTGACGACGACGACGACGACGACGACGACGACGACGACGACGACGACGACGACGGGGCAGCGCGAGAATCATCCGACAACTTCCACAGGGGTGGCTGTTCGTCCTGAGTCGATGTGTGAAAGTCCTGGGACCGAAAGGCAAGGGCGACCTCCAGAGGCCAAAAACGCCGAGAAGCCTCCTGTGGATTGCCGCGCTGCTTCCCCTTCCCCCGCATCGTCGGGGCGGCAGAGGCCTCTGAGAAGCATCCAGAGGCCCCCCAGAAGCCTTTGGAGCCTTCTCAGTGGCCTTTGACAGCTTCCCAGGGGCCTCTGGAGCCTTCTCAGAAGCCTATGGGAGCTTCTCAGAAGCCTCTGGAAGCTTCTCAGAAGCCTCTGGGAGCTTCCTCACACGCCACTGGGGGCTTCGCAGAGGCCTGTGGAAGCTTCTCGGAAGCCTCTGGAAGCTTCTCAGACGCCTCTGGACGCGTCTGAGAGCCTCTGGAGCCCTCTCGGACCCTGGAGGCGTCTCAGAGGCCTCAGGAACCTTCTCGGAAGCCCCTGGGAGCTTCCCGGAGGCCTCTGGCAGCCATCAGAGACCTCTGAAAAATCCGCAGAGGCCTCCGAGAGGCCCTCAGAGGCGTGCGGTGGCGGGCTGCATCGCTGTAGAGTGGCCGCTTCGGGCTGCTGGGCGGGAAGACGCTCCGCTCCCAGCATCCACTCGTGCAACAGCTGAAGAGCACGTCGGGGCCCGGAGTGCATTGCACGCCCGAACTGTACTGCAACGCCACAGGCCTATTGCGCCGAATCTGTTGCACCACCCCCTCGTCGCTGGACCCCCTTCTGTGGTCAACCCGAAACGACTGAAGAGCACATCAGGCCCCGCCGCCCGCGCGCCGGAGTGCACATAGTCATGATCAGAGGTGCTCGCTGAGTGCGCAGCCGCATCTCTTTATCTCTCGCGCGCAAGCCATGCATTCTTAGGTCGGGCCTGTCCCCCTGCAGGGGAACAAAGATCAGAAATAGTCAATTAATCGTCCCCAGAGTATGTTTTACCATTTTTTAAGATTCCTCCTGTGGAGGGACGTGCCCGACTTAAATGTACTCAAAACATCCCTGCATGTTGTCTGAAGGCGGGTGGGAACGGGCGGGGCCCTCCGGCTCGCTCGCCCTGGCCGACTTGACCTCCCTCCTGCTCCACTTTATCTTCGTCCTGCTCGGGCTCCTCTCCCTCCCCCTCCCTCTCCTCCTCCTCCTCATCATCGTCCTCCTCTTGCTCTCCCTCTTCCTCGTCCTCCTCCTTCTCTTTCTACCTTCTGCCTCATCCTCCTCCTCCTCACCTTCCTACTCCTCTTGCTCATCTTATCCTCCTCCTCCTCCTCCTCCTCCTCCTGCTCCTCCTCCTCCTCCCTCCTCCTTCTTCCCCCCTTCCCCCGCGGGCCCAGTGCTGGAGGGCCCACGGATCGGCGCTCGCCTGGCAGCCAACGTCGTAACGGCTGGCGCGGGACGTGTGATACGTCGCGAAGACGACCACCCGCGGCTGGTCCGGCGACTCGGGGCAGCACGGGCCGGCGTGCACGATGCCTGGAGGGAAGATCGACGGTACAGGGCAGTTATTTTTACATTGGATGTTTAAACATATAGGACTTGTAATACATGATCAATGCATGAATAAGTTTATGCATGAACTCATCGTTGTTTTTTATACTCAACCCTGCATGTTTAATACATGATCCGCACGCGGAGCATGTATTAAGAACGGCACTGTACAGTCATCGGGCTACCACACGGAACGCACAGCGAGGAACGAAGGGGTTCGCCCGACCACGGCGAGGGCCTCGGCCACGAGCAGGTGCCCCGAGCTAGGCACGAGGAGCGACCCGAGAAACCTGGCCCCTCCTCCTCCTGGCAACCCTTCTTGTCTCCCCACCTCTCCCAGCCTCGCATCCCCTCCCCCCCCCCCCCTTCCATGATCTCCCCTCCCCTGCCCCTCTCGCCTCTCCTCTCCTCGCCTCTCCTCGCGCTTCCCCTCTCATCGCCCGCCTTCTTGCCTCCTTCCCCCCCGACGGCTTCCGCGTCCCCCACCCCGTCTGACCCTACAGGATCGAGGCTCTTGGACGTTCTGGGGCCCTTGAGAGGGCCCTTGAGGGCGCCCTCGCCGCCACGGCTGGGTTCGCCTGGGCCTCCTGAGCCGAGCACGGACCCGGAGATGTACTGGTGGTCGATGCTGAGGGACGGAGGATGGGAAAGGAGGCTCTGGGAGGAGGAGGAGGAGGAGGAGGAGGAGGAGGAGGAGGGATAAGGAGGTGAAGGGGGAGAGGGAGGGGGATCAGTGATCAGTGATCAGTAGGAGGAGGAGGAGGAGGAGGAGGAGGAGGAGGAGGAGGAGGAGGAGGGGGAGGAGGAGGAGGAGGAAGAGGAGGAGGAGGGGGAGGAGGAGGAGGAGGAGGAGAGGCGGCGGCGGCGGCGGTGCTCCAGGGAGTCCAACGTCAGCTCGGAAAAAGGAGGAGGAGGAGGAGGAGGAGGGGCGAGGAGGAGGAGGAGGAGGAGGACGACGACGACGAGGCGCGGGAGCGGAAGCGGCAACAGAAGCGTGTGCGGGAGAGGGAGGGGGAGCGGGTGCGGGAGCGCGTGCGGGAGCGGGAGCGTAAGCTAGACCAGGAGCGAGAGCGGGAGCGGGAGCGGGGACGGGAGTGGGACCGGGGGCGCCCCAGCGGGAGTGAGAGCGGGGGGGCGGGGCGGGAGCCGCTCATCCAGGGGGAAACCACAGCACGCTCCTCCCGACCCCGATGTGTACCCTCCGTTCTCGGCCACATGCAAGAGTGACCCTTGGTAAGAGTGACCCTCCGTTCTCGGCTTTTGGGGGGCCGCGGAAGGGGGGGGGGGGGGGCAAGCACAAGCGCGCAAGACGCCACTGCCGCCTCGCGCTCGGCGCTGGGGGGGGCCCAGTGGGCGCGCACCAAAAGTCACTCCGGTGAAGGGTCACTCTTACGTGTAGTCGACGTTTCCGTGGCCAAAGTTTTCTGCCAACGGCGGCGGCCATCCTGGGAGTCTAGCGGGGGAGAAAGAGTAGGAGGAGGAGGCCGCCAGCCCCCTTGAGAGCGCAAGGCTGCGAAACGTCCTGCTTGGCTGCTGTCTTGCTTCATTGTTATGCGTTTGCATTTTGCTTCTTGTCTCTCCAGTCCTGACTTCGTTCCACTGTCCACAGGGCGCCTGTCTCTCCGGTCGTGCCTCTCCAGCCCCGTCCCCACTCCCTCTGCGCTGCACTCCAGAGCTGAGACACGGCCACGACCGGCGCGCGCCTGGCGGGGGGGGTAATTAGCAGCGGCGGCGGCGGCGGCGGCAGAATCAGCCGGACGAGGAGACTGCGAGGGAGGAGTCGTGCCGTCTCGCATCTGCACCGCGTCCCCGGGCAGCAGGGGCTCGCACGCGTGGACCATCCGCCGGTACACCTGCAGGGGGGGGGAGGGGCCCGGCCCCTGGGGCCGACGTCTCGGGGAGGGAGCCAGGGAAGCCCCTCCCCTGCAGGGGGAGGGAGAGGAGGAGGCGGAGGTGGGAGGCGTGGGAGGTGGGGGGATGTTCGAGTAGGAGATCGACTAAAGAAGTGGCGTATCCAAAACTGCTACGTTCCTGGAATATTCTGAAAACATGTGGAACGTTCGGACGTCTACCGAAAGCATACGTATTGAGTCGCATGTTGGACGAACATGTCAACTCTTGGGTGAAGCAATTCTGAAGCGGATCTCCTACTCGGGATGTGGAGATGGGAGGCGAGGGAGAGACGAGGGGAAGGGGGGGCGAAGGGAAGGGGGGAGGGCGGGGCGAGAGAGCAGGCGGTGGGGCCTCACAGCGGCGTCAGGGCCAGCACCCTGGCCTCGCTCGGGGCCCCTGTCTTTGGTGGTTCGGGACAGTCCCGCCTAGGATGGACCCGTGCTTCCACGTTGTCGGGCGGGAGGAAGAGTCGGGGAGGGAGCATGGGGCACACCACGCACTACCGAAGAGATTTAGAGAATACGACAGCACGGCAGCGTGCGATAACCCGAACGGATCAATACAAATTCCTAGGATCCGCAAGAGAGCTCGAGGGCAGCGCCAAGGGTCTGACACCTGCGCAACTTGCGTCATGTTCAGGACTTCTGAAGGGGGTTCAGCGGGGTGCGGTCCTGCGAGGATCCAAGTGAGACCTCGCCACCCTGGGTGCTGCCCGCTGCGCAGTACAGCGGAGGTCCTGGGAGGTCCAGCGGAGTGGCGTCTTACGCCTGCAATGGACCTTCCCTCGGCGTCGCCTCACATAAGAATCTCGGAGACTGCAATACATTATGTCCCCGTGTACCCCTCAGAAAGGTACGACGCGCAGCTTCGAATGATCAGTCGTCTTGGACGAGACCGTTGGCCTTGGTGCTTGTGCGTATGGGCGGGGTACGCCCCCGGGTAGTTGTCTCACACGAGGTGGATTCGGCGGTGCGCCCCCCGGGGGAAATGAGAAGGAGCGGGATTTCTCAGAAGGCTCGGAAGTCCCCCAGCCTTCTGATCGGCGGTGTTCAAAGCCTTCCCCGAAGACACAGGAAACCTCTCCGAAGACCGGACGGAGGCCTTCTGAGAAGTCTCGCCGCCTTCTGGGACTCGGGCTCGGACTCGGACTCGGCTCCGCGCGTGTGGCGCCATGAAGGCGCGGCGGAATGGGCACCGAGGCGCCTGCATTGAAAGACATCGGAAAACAAATCTGCATGTGAAAATTATGCATGGGATGCGTCAAAGGAGGAGGAGGAGCAGGAGGAGCCGCCTTCTGGGACGGCCTTCTTCTCCTCACCTCCCCCCATCGCTCGCCGCCGATGGATGCATCGACTTCACGAACCGCACGAGTCGGCTGGCGGCCGGGTCCGAACGGACAGGGCCCATGCCGATGCAGCTTCCTCCTCCTCCACCTCCTCCTCCTCCTCCTCCTCCTCCTCCTCCTCCTCCTCCTCTTCCTCCTCCTCCTCCCCCTTTTCCTTTCCTCCTCCTCCTCCTCCTCCTCCTCCTCCTCCTCCTCCTCCTCCTCCTCCTCCTCCTCCTCCTCCTCCTCCTCCTCCTCCTCCTCCCCCCCAAGCCTCCTTGAGACTCGAGGGTCGAGGGTGAGCATCGCCAGGTTCGAATGTTTGAGTGCTGCAGGGCCTTTGTTGACCACTGGGGGCCTCCAAAAGTCCCCGGAGAGACCCCAGAGAGATCTGAAGACCGTCACTTCCATGATTTTCCCCCTCCCTGATCCTCCTCCTCCCGTCCCCCGTCTCATCATGGTCGTCATCATCATCATCAGCAGTAGCATCATCAGCATCATCAGCATCAGCAGCATCATCTTCATCATCATCCGCATCAGCATCAGCATCGTCATCATCGTCATGAGCATCATCATCATCATCATCATCATCATCATCATCATCATCATCATCATGATCATCATCAGCATCACCATCATCAGCACCACCATAATCACCGTCATCAGATCGTCTTGGACAAGATCGTTGGCGTTGCTACTTGTTGCAGGGCGTGGATATATCGGCAAGCACGAAACTCACGAGTCGGCAAGCGGCTGGGTCAGAAAGGCCAGGCCTCATGCCGATACCAAGAGGGCATCCGATGCTCCAAGATGGCCTCCAAGAGGGCTCCAGAAAGCGCAAGATCGCTCAAGATGACCGCCAGACGCCGCAAGAGGGCCACAAGACGGTTCCAGGTGCCCTCAAAGACCCCTCTGGACCTCCCCGAGAAGCCGAAATCCTTTACAAAAACCTGAGGAAATCAATGAGTTGTGCCTTCTCGCCGCTTCGCTTCCGATAAGACGGCCCACGAGAGCTCCAAGAAGGGCCCAAGATGCCCCAAACACGGCCCCAAGACCACCCACAAATTGGGATCAAGAGCTTCCCAAGATGCAGCTTTGACGGCCTAGAAGGGGGGCTAAACGTTAGTACCCCCCTACACCCTCCACGACAGCCCCAAGAGACCCTCCAGGGCCCCCAAGGGGTCCTCAAGAGAGCCCCAAAAGAGCTCCAAGAGGGCCCCAAGGGGGGCCCAAGAGCGCCCCGAGACCCCCCAAAAGAGCTCCAAGAGAACTCCAAGACCCTTCAGAGGAGCTCTGAGAGGGCACCGAGCCCCAAGAAGGCCACCCCATTGATCCCAGAGATCTCTCTTTTCACCCTGGTTGCACGCTTTGTTTCACTAATGGATATCTTCGTCCCGCTTCCCGTCAGCTCTCAAAATCAGGGTCTCTGAATGGGTTGGTGGGGATACGTTTTTTGGTCGGCGGCTCCGAGGCGGCGGACAGGGAGCGGCAGGCGTCGCCTGGGCCAGCAGGCGAAGCTAATTAGCTACAACAGGCAATGCCCCTGCAGTAAAAAACGCAAGAAAGCGAGCATGCACATGCAGGAAGCAAAATGCTCGATTAAACGCTGCAGAAGAGTCGCCCTGTCGGCGCCATTCCGCGCAGCCAACCTAGCCGATTAGACAGGTAGGACCGAAGCGAAACGCTGCAGGCTGCACCACTCAGCGCGAGGTACCACCGCCGTACGCGGGGTAGGCAGAGACAGGGCAGGGACCTACAGAGCGCCCACTCCACGATCCACACTGCTGCCCACGGTGGGGCCGGTGCGTCAGCCCACGCTCCGAAACCAGACACCGGCCAACTGGTGGAGACGAAGCGACACGCTGAAGGCAGAACCACTCAGTGCGAGGCACCACCGCCGTACGCGGGGTCGGCTGGGATACGCAGCGGAAGAGTCGCCCTGTCGGCGCCACTCCGCGCAGCCAAACTAGCCGAACAGGCAGGTAGCACCGAAGCGACACGCTGAAGGCTGCACCACTCAGCGCGAGGTACCACCGCCGCACGCGGGGTCGGCTGAGAAAGGGCAGGGACCTACAGAGCTCTCACTCCACGATCCACCCGCTGCCCATGGTGGGGCCGGCGCGCCAGCCATCGTCTCCGTCGCCAGTCACAGGCCAGGGGGCAACGATGGAGGCGGACACGCAGGCCCAAGCGCCAGTCCTGCCGCCAAGCGGGCAACGGCTGAAGGTCGCCGAGGTACGCTGCAGCCGCGGCCATCACATAGGCGCTGGGATGTAGTCAGACCCGAAACTGACCACAGTGAGAGCCCGGGGACGGCAAGTACCAACAGAGCACTCACTCCGCGGACCGCACTGCTGCCCGGGGGGGGCCGGTGTGTCGTCATCGTATCCGAAACCAATGACTGGTCGGGGCTGCAACGATGAGAGAGGACATGCTGGCCCAAGGGCCGGTGTATTGCACTTGCAGGTACCAGCCACGATAGCCACCGAGATTCGCAGCTGCCGCGACCACCTCATGGAGCGCTGGAACGCAGCTAGGGCTGAATCTGACCACGGGAAGGAGAGGGGGGGCGCAGCCAACAGCCGCAAAGCACACATGTGCCGGTGAGGAGGAGGAGGAGGAGGAGGAGGAGGAGGAGGAAGAGGAGGAGGAGGAGGCGGGGAGGCGCAGCCAACAGCCGCATACACATTTGGTTGACAGAGGAGGAGGGAGGTGCAGCCAACAGCCGCAAACGCCACATGTGTAAGGTCGCCACTTCCCTCGTCATCTGGCGGCCTCTTCCCTCGTCATCTGGCGGCCTCTCGGGGGAGAGACCCGCCACTGCGCGGGGCAGCACAGGCGCCTGCCCCCATGGTGGGTGGACAGCGCTATCCGCTTCAGTGGGCTGATTAGCCTCCTCATGGCCCTCTCTAGGGTGCCCATCCACTAACCCCCTCTCGATTCCCCTCTGGGGCGTCATCATCGGGGAGGGTGCAGCCACCAGCCGCGATGAAACATGTCATGTATCATATAAGCAGCTCGCACCGAGCTGAGGACTAGGGGGGGTAGTGTGGGCTGCACACAGACCGCCGCCAGCAGAAAGGTGCGCAGGGGGGGGCTATTCCAGTCAACCGCCCCCGGCCGACCAAAGTGGCCGTCGAGAAACAGCAAAGGGCGTGGAGCCCGGGGAGGCGTCTGCGTCCGTCCCCAGTCCCCAACTGAGCAGTCAGCCGTCGTAGAGGGCGGCTGTTGGCCTTGGGCCGGTGGGGCCTGCGGGCCCACCCCCAGCAGCTGCAGGGGGGGGTGAGGTGGCCAGGCAAGGTCCACGTATCCTGTGTGGGCTGTCTAGCTATGCAGCGCCTTGGGCGAGATGTTGGGCCACCCCCGCCCCAGCGGGAGCTGCCCCAGGTATTGCGGCCAAGGCGGGGCGCTGCAGGGTGAAACTGTCCCCGACGGGGAGAGGGCGGCGAGAGCCTGGGGGGCGTCGCTGTCGCCGAGCTGGGGGAGCAGGGGGCACCCCGTCGGGCGGGCCCATCCCTGCATGCCCTGGGCACACTGGTCAAGCCAATCCCACCATCGTGCGCGCTTGTCGGTGTATGGGTCCTCTCCCCTGGGGGAGTAGCGTTTGCCTTTCGCTTTCCAATCGGTATCTGTCCATTGTGTGCTCTGATGGCTCCAAGAAACCCACTCCTGCCATCCATGCCACGGGTTGGCGGAGCCGGATGCACCAGTCCATTGCTCCTGCGAGGACGCCTCTGTCGACCTCTTGCCCTCCTTGGTCCATGGGGCGGGGCCGCTGCTGCTGTCGGTCCCGCGCTGCGCGTGGGTCTGGGTTCGCGTTGCAGGAATGCCTGTCCTTGACCGTTGGCCAATCGACGTTGGGCCCTAGGTCTCTGTCCATCTCGTATGCGTCATACCCTGAGTTGCCCCATGCCTGGAGGAAATCGCTGCACAGCTGCACGGAGTTCAGCTTGGGGTCGTCCTTTTCATTCCCGATGGTCCCCTGCTTCACGGCCGCTCTCCTCGCCCATGCGACCCAGACCCCGTTCAACGCACCTCCCAGCGTCTTTTGCAGGCGTGTTATATTCTCCTGTATCGGTTCGTCCTTCGTAGCATCAGCTTCGTCGACCGGGCACATATACATGGGGATGCCCCCCATGGGGTCGCTCGGATTGCCTCGGGGTGGCTGCGTTTCTCGTATGTCTCTCCAGGGTGCCTGGAGTATGTGTGGCCGGGCTGGGTCGCCTCTTGTGGACTTGGCGGCACGGCGATCCCCGTCCCTGGTGCCCTCCCACACGGGTCGCTGGCGGCCTCTGTCGCCGATCGCGCGCCTGAGGAACCTGTCGTCCCTGGCGTCGTCGATGGTCCCAGCTGGGTTGTCCCCTCTTCGCTGGTCGTCCGGCGTGCTCCTGGCGGCGCAGGCAGCGTCCCTAGAAGCGGCCTGCTCTTAGGGGGACCAGGCCTCTGAGGTGACCCTGTCGGGTGGTGCCGACCAGATCCTGAGGGGGTCATGGATTTCTTCATCTCGGTCGCCAGCAGTGGGGGTTGGACTGGACTCCGAGCTTGACTCCTTGAGGGTGTCAGACTCACTCTTCTTGTCTACCTCCTCACCCCAGTCGACCCCATCTACTTCGCCCTCGTTCTTGCACGTCTGCCCAGTAGGAATTTTCCCCTCTGCCTGAGGGGCGCGTCCCCCTTCCGCCCCGGCGGTTTGGGAGGGGCGCTCTGGTAGCACGGGAAGGGGGGTCCTCCTGCACGCCTCCGCGGTTGTCCACTGAGGGGGGGGCGTCGGCACCGACATCCCTGTTGAGCCAGGTGGCTGCCGGAGACTCCGCCCCAACTGAGGCGCCTGCGGCTGTCTCGCGCGGGTCGCGGGTGGAAAGGAGGGTGATGGTCCCCCAGGCCAGTGCAGTGGGGTCAATCTCCGTAAGGAACGCCAGCAGAGTGCGGATCCGCTGTCGGAAGGGGCACTGCCCTCTCTGCTCAGCAAGGCCAGCAGCGTAGCGGTCCCATTCCCCCGGGTATCTCTCACTCCTACCCGTTAGGTGGGATACACTTCTGGCCGCTGCAGCCCGCTGTCCGTCCCACGGGATGCGTGGGGGGTGGCCGTTCGCTGGGATCGAGTCCCCGTAGATCATTCCCAGGAAGGGGAGCAGGCGCGCGGTGGGCCACAACGTCTCATCGGTTTTGGGCTGGTGGGGAGCGTGAAGAATTGAATGCTTTTTGGCTGGACCACTGTGGGCCATTTTGGCCACTGGGGCCTCCAAAAGTCCCCGGAAAGGCCAGAGAAAATCTGAAGACCGTCTCCCATCATCCTCCTCATCATCCCCAATCATATGTTTCACCGATCCCCCCTCTCATAATCGTGGACACCAGCATCATCAACAGCATCGTCACCATCATGCTCACCCAAACCAGAAGCATCACAACCAGCATCATCAGCACCATCAGCATCATCATCATCATCATCATCATCAGCATCATCATCATCATCATCATCATCATCATCATCATCATCATCAACATCATCAGCGACATCATCAGCATCATCAGCATCATCATCACCATCACCATCACCAGCGTCGTCGCCACCATGATACGAACATCATACCCATCACCATCATCATCCCAATCGTCACCATCACCACCACCACCAGCACCACCATCATGAATCACCATCAGTCGCCCTTTCTATCATCATCACCAAAATTGTCTTCAACGATACGATCGTCGTCGTCGTCATCAACAACAACACGTTCCGCGCATTCGACGCGCGTGGCGCTCGACCCGAGCTCGGTCCCGTGATCACCATCATCGTCATCATAATCGTCATCGTGATCACCATAGTCCTCGTAATCCTCATCATACTCGTAATCCGAATCATCATCACCATCATCGTCATCATCATGACTATCGTCGTCGTCATCGTCTTTATCACCACCACCAGCACCATCATCCAACCCATCCTCCGCATCATCACCATCACCACCAGCAGACGCATCACCAACACCACAGCCACCACCATCATCACCATCATAACCAACAGCATCGCCACACTGTGGTCCTCACCCGGGCTCTGAGGAAGACGGCGCCCGTTCCCCCCACATATCATCAAAGATCGTCATCCTAAAAGCATCATTATGTCCGCCTCCTCCACATCATCATCACCACCACAACAATCATCATCAGCATCAGCAGCATCATCATCAGTACATACCTCCTCCTCCATCATCATCATCATCGTCATCATCATCATCATCATCATCATCATCATCATCATCATCATCATCAGCAGCATCATCATCATCATCAGCGACATAATCAGCATCATCAGCATCATCATCATCAGAATCAGCATCATCATCATCATCATCATCATCATCATCATCATCAGCATCAACATCATCATATACCATCGTCTTCAGCATCATCAGTAGCATCAGCAGCAGTCTCATCATCAGCAAATGCCACCATTCATCATCACGTATACAAACATCAGCAGCAGCATCATCATGGTCATCGTCATCGTCATCATCAGCAGCAGCAGCATCATCATCACAACCACCATGTATCATCATACCTCCCCATTCTCCCGTATACAGCTCCTCGTCTCCTTTTTCGGGTTGCAACCAGAGGCCCATGCAAGCACAAACGATGGTGGAAAAGGGTTTAGTCACCCAGCAATAGCTCAGTCAGAGACCGGCCCACCCGCCCCTTCCTCCCGCGTCCTACAGTGGAGGCCAGTCCACAAGAAGCATTCCACGAGAAACCCAACACTGAGACCCCAAGACGTCAATTGATTTTTGGTGTGGGAACGTCGCATTTCCCACAGCAAAACCATCGAAATCCAAGAAACCAAGGGCACCCTGGAGGCAAGCTGGGTGTTTCCTGGCATGGGTCTCCACTGTACTCTTGACTGTTCGGGTTGAGCGATGGGCAGCAGCCCTCGCTGCTGGAAGGCCGCTGCGGCGGCCGCACGGGTACGGGCGTCGGTCACCACCCTCGTCCTCCTCCTCCCCCGCCTCTCCGCCTCCCTCCCCTCCCCTCCCCCCCCTCCCCCCTCCTCCCCCCCCTCCTCCCCTCCCCCTCCCGCCCCCGGGCGGGCAGCCGGTTGGTGTGGGCGGCACCTCCCGGCGTCCGGGGGAACTGAAACCCGCTTAGTCGTGGCCTGTATGGGGGCTGCGCCACTGCTGAAACCACCCACCCTCCCACGGCATAGCCGTGGGCGGGTGGGTGGTTTCGGCAGTAGGGGGCACCGACCCCGGCCTTCAGGCCTAAACGGTAATCCCGATTCGGCTACGGCCGAATCGGGTCCCCTCCACTGTCTTGGCCCGGCGGCTCCCCGGTCGCGCCAGGGTGTGGAGGGGGGGTCTGGCTTCGGCCAGGCTCACGGGGAGTCCCCCTTGGGCAAGGGGACTGGGGGGAGCAGGCCAGGGCACCCGCCCCGAGACTCGCACCAGGTGCCCCGCCTGGTGGCGAGGGGTGTCCTGTGTCCCCGACCAGCGCCTGGCGTGCCTGGCGGGTGGCAGGGGGGCCCCCTCCCCTCGGGGGGGGGCTGGTCCTGGAGGCGTTGGACGTGTACGTGCACCTCTGAGCGTCCCCTCCCCTCCTCGGCCTTCTGAGTTTTGGAGCGGCCGAGGTGCACTAGGTCTCTCCCAACACACTGTATAGGCCCTGGCAGTGTGGGGTTTTTATGTTTTGACAGATCACCTCGTGATGGCGTCCACTCCACTCCACTCCCCTCCCCCTCCCCTTCCCCCCCCTCCCCCCCCTCCTCCCCTCCCCATCCTCCCCTCCCCCCTCCACTCCTCTCCCTCCTCCCCTCCTCCCCCCCGCCCCTCCCCCCCCCAACCCCCCTCTCCTCCCCCACCCCCACCCCTCCTCCGTCCTCCCCTCCCTTCCGGCCTCTCCCTCCCTCCCCCCCTCCTCCTCCCCTCCTCCCACCCTCCCCCCCCCCCTCCTCTCCCCGTCCCCCTTCCCCCTCCTTCCGGCCCTCCCCTCCTCCCCTCCCCCTCCCTCCCTCCCCCTCCCCCTCCTCCCCTCGGCGGCCCGCGGCGCGGAGCCGCCCGGGGGGGGGGGCGGGGCGGGCGCGCGGCCTCCGCCATGGGCAGCACCAGGGGCGACCCGCCCCGCAGCAGCATGGTCCAGCTCGGGTCCTCGGGGCTTCGAGGAGAACGAGGAGGAGGAGGAGGAGGAGGAGGAGGAGGAGGAGGAGGAGGAGGAGAAGGAAGAGGAGGAGGATAAGAAGAAGGAAAAGGAAAAGGATAAGAAGATGGAGAAGGATAAGGAGAAGGAAGAGAGGGAGGAGGAGGAGGAGGAGGAGGAGGAGGAGGAGGAGGAGGAGGAGGAGGGACGGAGGAGGAGGAGGAGAAGGAGGAGAAGGAGAAGGAGGAGACGGAGAAGGAGAAGGAGTAGGAGAAAGTGAGGGAAAATGAGAAATAGGAGAAGAAGAAGAAGAAGAAATGGAAGATAAGCATTAGAATAAGAAGGATAAGGAGGAGGAAGAGGAGAAGGAAGGAGGAGAAGGAGAATGAGGAGGAGGAGGAAGAGGAGAGCGACTCTTGGGGCGCCCTGGAAGTTTATTGGCGCCTCTTCGAGACCCTTGTGGCACCTTCGCAGAGGCCTTTTCGAATACCGCCTGGAGCCGCCCGCAAGCCCATCAGCGGCGACACTAAAACGAGGTTTCCTCTCTTGAGTTCAAACTATGGAAGTATGGAGCGGTAGCGTCGTTGTTGTAGGGGAGCGGGTTTGCGGCGCCAGGGCGCGAACGCAATTCCTGAGTAATTATCCCGGCAAAGCAACCTAACAGCGATATGTAGAAGCATATCTGAAAGCATTCCCCTTAAGATTCGGATGAAAATCCAGTTGTAGAATTCTGCTGTTCTCGCAGTCGTAGTCGCATTCGCGATGACAGTCGCAGCGGCAACGGCAGTCGCAGTCACAGCCTCAGCCTCAGCCTGCCTCAGCCTCAGCCTCAGCCTGCCTCAGCCTCAGCCTGCCTCAGCCTCAGCCTCAGCCTGCTTCAGCCTCAGCCTCAGTCTGCCTTCAGCCTCGGCCTCAGCCTCAGCCTGCCTCAGCCTCAGCCTCAGCATCATCAGCCTCAGCCTCAGCCTCAGCCTGCCTCAGCATCAGCCTGCCTCAGCCTCAGCCTCAGCCTGCCTCAGCCTCAGCCTCAGTCTGCTTCAGCCTCAGCCTCAGTCTGCCTTCAGCCTCGGCCTCAGCCTCAGCCTGCCTCAGCCTCAGCCTGCCTCGGCCGCAGCATCAGCCTGCCTCAGCATTCAAAATGTGGCCCAGGAATGGAGTTCTGGGAACTAGAAGAACACGAAGTGGCCTACAGTTGGCTCCGGGCATTCAAAATCATGCCCAGGAATGGAGTTCTGGGAACTTGAAGAGCACGAAGTGGCCTACAGTTGGCTCCGGGCATCCAAAATGTGGCCCGGGAATGGAGTTCTGGGACATCGAAGAGCACGAAGTGGCCTACAGTTGGCTCCGGGCATCCAAAATGTGGCCCGGGAATGGAGTTCTGGGAACTCGAAGAGCACGAAGTGGCCTACAATTGGCTCCGGGCACTCAAAATGTAGCCCGGGAATGGAGTGTGTGACTGGTGGCGAAAAACGATTCCCGGTTCTCCTCCCCGGCACCCGCCCAGACCCCCCTGAGGAGTCATGATGCTCTCTTTTGACCCTACTAGAAACCTATCAGCAAACGCTGTTAGGTAAAAAGCAAAGAAATAGCGAACGGGAATGCTGATCTTGTTGGATAACCGTGTTCGACAGCGAGCAGGAGCGCCAGCCGTGAGCAATAAGCGAGGAAGTGCTGAGAGGGAGCGTCGTGCTGCAGGGGGGCCGGTCTGCAGACCCAAGGCGGGAACGATTCCTGGGCAGTTAGCGAGGAGGTGTCGAGCGAGAGGGCTGGTATTGTTGGAGGGCCGGTGGTCGGCAGCGGGGAGGAGCCGTGGTCTGGAGTGAAGAGCGAGGAGGTGCTGAGCGGCGGGAGCGTCGTCGATGTGGGGGGCCCGACTGCGGACCCTAGGCGGGAACACCAGCCCTCAGTGAATAGCGAGGAAAGGTTGAGCGGAAAATTGTGGGGGTAGGGGTAGGGTTCGCATGTGGCCCCCTATTTGTGGGGGGCCGGTTGTCGGCGACGAACCAGGCCACCGATCGTGGGTAAGCAGCGCAAAGATATCCAGCGGAAGCGTTGGTTGTAGGGGGGCCGGTGTGCGGCCATAGAGCGCAAACGCCACTCCGCATAACAAGACGCGAGGGCGCACTGAGCGGGAGCGCTGGTTTTGGGGGGGCGGGGCAGTTTTCGCCGGCGAGCAAGGGCACTGGCCCTGAATGAAAAGCGGGGAAATATCGAGCCGGAGCAGTGTTATTGTTGGGGGGGGGGGGGGGGCGGTTTTGGCTCACCCCCGAATCTCTCGAGCGTGAGCCTGGTTTTCAAAGGAAATGCAGACGGCGCTGAGGCGAGAGCGTCAGGGCGGCCAACAATGACAAGTGCTTTGTAGTTCACATTCAATCAGATTAAGACTGTTCGATCTTCTGCTCGCGTGCCATTCGAAATGTTTATAACGAATCCTCGATACACGCCCTCTTCGTCTTCGATCGTACCCCCTCTGGGGACTTTCTTCCTTATCTGCCACCTGTAGTTGGCGCAGCCCCAGGAGGGAAGGGACAATGGGAGGGAGAAGAACGGAGCACGAGAGAGATTAGCAGGAGCGGGCTTAGGAGCATGAAAACAAGCGGCAGAACCAGACGGGCGGGTGGAGCGGGCGGACCCTAACAGGTGGATCGGGCGGGCGGGCCCAGACGGCGGGGTCGAGCGGGCGGGTCGCTGAAGCTTCAGTACTGCATGGATCGCGGCGAAGTCTCGGGCGGCATCGCAATTCCCGAGTAGATCGTGAGAAAGTCCAGAGCGAGCGCGTGATTCCTGAGTGTCGAGGCGTCTCAGTAAACTTTCAAGACTTCTCATACAAGAGCGCGATTCCTGAATAAGTTGTGAAGAAGTCCAGCGCGAGAGCGCGGTTATGGATTCACTTTGAGGAGGCATCAAGCGGGAGCCATTGTTGGGGTCCAGGAGAGCAGTCTGAGCCTCAAGAGTTTCCTGGTAGACAGCAGAGTGCGAGCCCGAGCCCCAGGAGATGCACTTGAATTAAAAATCCGGAGGACGGCATCAACAATAACTGTACTTTAGACATAAAAACAATAAACCACGCAACGCACCAGCAACGAGAATCCGCGCAGCGGAATCGCACTTCAGCCAAGCACCCAGGAACAATGAATGACCGCGCCGATCCAGACATGACGCCGAAACTGCAGCGGGAACATCAGTTCGACAAACAAAAAAAACTCGGGGGGACGAACACACGCATGAAACATCAAACAATAAGATCCTCGTTGAAAACAGTTATGTACACAAAACACGAAAACCTGATACACTGAGAACACCCAAACAATCAACCAAACAAACAAATAACAAGCACCGACCAACCAAAAAAAATCGCACGACAAGGCGCCCCGCGTGGACAGAATGCAGGAGAGAAGAGCAGCATCCACATTGTGTAATCCATGGGGAGGCCTGGATCCTCCTCTTCTTGCGCCGCAACAGAAGCATCGTCATCACCATCATCGTCTCCTCGACCAGCATCGCAAGCATCACCATCCTGTCATCAGCATCATCACCACCACCACCATCACTACCACCAAGGTCACCACCACCACCATCAACATCACGATGACCAACATCAACATCAGCATCATAATCGCCTTCAGTATCGTCGTCACCACCATCAACAATACCTACCATCACCGTCACAACCACCGTCATCCTCACCAGCATCCTTGTCAACACCATTATCACCAGCAGCAGCATCATCAGCATCGTCGTCATCAGCAACAGCAACGTCAGCATCATCGTCGTCATCATCATCAACACCATTATCATGATCAATATCCTCATCATCATCGTCGCCATAGTCAGCCTCATCATCAGCATCCTCATCACCATCATCATCATCATCAGCATCAGCATCAGCATCATCAACATAATCAGCATCAGCAGCAGCAGCATCAACATCATCACCATCATCACCAGCACTATCATCAGGATCATCATCAACATCATCATCATCATCATCATCATCATCATCATCATCCATCAGCACCATCATCATCATCACCGTCGTCATCATCATCTCCATCATCAGCATGATAAGTATTACTAGCATCAGACTACTGATCCTCAGAATCATTATCATAATCGTCGTCATCATTGTCACCATCATCATCAAAACCATCATCCTCGTCATCCTCATCACCATCATCAGCATCAACGTAATCATCATGAACATCGCCATCAACATGGTCATCAACATCACCACCATCAGCATCATCATCGTCATCATCACCATCGTCATCATCATCAGAATCGTCATCATCACCACCGTCAACATAATCATAAGCATCATCACCATCATCAACAACACCATCGTAATCATTAGCATCATCGTCATCATCATGAACAGCAGTATCATCATCTGCATCATCATCAACGCCACCATCGTCCTCATCATCATCCTCGTCCTCATCATCATCACCAGCATCATGAGCATCATCAGCAGCATCATCATCGTCAACACCATCGTCATCATCATCGCCATCAACATGGTCATCAGCATCACCAACATCACCATCCTCATCAGCAGCATCAGGAGGATCATCATCAGCATCAGCATCATCCATCATCGTCATCATCACCAACATCATCATCACCACCATCATCGTCATCATCATATCATCATCATATCATCATCATCAGCATCATCATCATCAGCAGCAGCAGCATCATCATCATCGTAATCGCCATTGCCATCTTCACCATCGTCATCGTCATCGTCAACGCCGCCGTCGTCGTCGTCCCCAGTCCTCGCCCCCCCCGCCCTCGTGGGATTCCTCCCTCGTGCTTCCTTTCCCCCCTTCCTCCTCCACGTCCTCCGTTCCCTCCATTTCATCCTCCTCCTCGTCCTCCTCCTCCATTTCCTCCACTTCCTCCTCCTCCTCCTCCATTTCCTCCTCCTCCTCCTCCAGTTCCTCCTCCTCCTCCTTCTCCTCTATTTCCTTCTCCTCCTCCATTTCCTCCTCCTCCTCCTCCTCCTCCAGTTCCTCCTCCTCCTTCCTCCTCCTCCTCCTCCTCCTCCTCCTCCTCTCCCTCCTCCTCCTCCTCCAGTTCCTCCTCCTCCTCCTCCAGTTCCTCCTCCTCTCCTCCTTCCTCCTCCTCCTCCTCCTCCTCCTCCTCCTCCTCCTCCTCCTCCTCCTCCTCCTCCTCCTCCTCCTGCACCTTCACCACCTCCTTCCGGAGCGGCCGACGCAGTGCCGGACCCCCACGGGCGCCCGGCGCGCCCGGGGCGCGCTCGGCGCCCCGAGCCTCGACGAACAGCCTCCGCTTCCTCTGCAGCCGGGCCCGGGCCAGAAGAGCAGCCTCTGATGGGCCACCAGTTGGAGGAGGAGGAATAGGAGGAGGAGGAGAGGGAGGAGGAGGAGGAGGAGGAGGGGGAGGAAGGAGAGGAGGAAGGAGAGGAGGAGGAGGAGACGAGGAGGAGGAGGAGGAGGAGGAGGCGGGGAGGAGGAGGTGGTGGAGGAGGAGGAGGAGGAGGAGGACGAAGAGGAGGAGGAGGAGGAGGAGGAGGAGGAGGAGGAGGGGGGAAGGGGGAGGAGGACGAGGAGGAGGAGGACGACGAAGAGGAGGAGGAGGCGGAGGAGGAGGTGGAGGAGGGCCACCTCCCCCTCCAAGGTATGGCAGCGGTGGTGGCGGAAAACAAGCCCATCATCCTCCAGGAACACGTGGGGCCCTCCGCCGGCCCGAGCCAAAGGAGCTTCGGGGGGGTACCCTCCCTCAGGAGGCAATCACTGGGAGGTCTTCGTCGGAAGCATGAAGGAGGATGAAGCCCCACTGGAGGGCTGTTACGCCAGAGTGGGCCTCGGATTAAGCGGGATCAGGCCGGATCAAGCGGGACGAAGCGGAACTTAGCCGGATTTAGCGGGATTCAGCCGGATCTCGGACCAGGGCAAAATCTGAATTTGACCTCCCAGGAGTTGCATCCGAACCTCCCCCAGGATGCACCACGACATCCAGCGAGCACGGAGAACACGAGGGCACCCTCCCCGAACCGACCTCGACCTCACACCCCGGTCCGACCCGATCCGCCCGCATCCCCCCCATCGCCCTGCTCCTCTCCCTCCTCCACCTCCCAGATGGGCCGCAGAAGGCGACACCAGCACGATATTCCCCCGCCTGGAGAGGCGCACGCCCGAGCCGAGCGCATCACTGGAAGCATCCTGTCGCCCACCGACCCCCGCGCGCCGGGGCGAAGAGGCGTGTGAGACGGCTGGCCGGCCCCCTCCCCCCGTTTCTCCCCGGGCATGTCCCAGTGCAGGCGGACTCTGGACGAACCGTCCAAAGATCGCCCCCGGACTACTATTTTAAAAAAACTATGTAAGAATTTCCCTCCTGTAGAGGGACAGGCCCGACTTAACCCTGGTTCCGAAATCCCATGAGAGGGAGGGGCGGGTCATCCCCCAAGAAGGGTCGGGGGCACGAGCTCGTCAGCGCACCTCTGGGGCCCTCGGAGCCTCCCCAACACACCCTCCGCAGCCGCCGCGATGCCTTCTGACATGGCCCCGGGAGGGCCCCAACACGCCAAAGCCGAAGGGGCATCGAGAACATCCAAGATGGCCTGAAGACGCCCCGAAGACGCCCCCGGGGGGTCCTCAGAGAACCGCCAAGGAGGGCCTCAAGACAGACGCAAAAACAATGGATGTCCCTCAGGCTTCGCGGGCTCGCCTCTTTTGGCCTTCTGGAAATCCAAGACGGCCCGAAACGCCCCCCAGACCAGCTCAGGACGCCCCCAAGAAAGGCCTGGACACGGCCCAAGAGGCCTTCAAGAGGGCCCCTGGAGGGGCCCAATCGAGGCCCAAGAAGGGGAAACCGCAGAACCTCCGGAGCCCCCCCCCCTTCACAAGATGGCCCCCAAGACACCGATACGCCCCCAAGATGCCCCCCAGTGGCACCAAAAAGCCTCCAGGGACCCAAAAGCCTCCAAGAGGCAGAAGCCCATTCAACATACGCGGAGGAAGATAAAGAAGAAACAGCAACAAGGACACGTCGGCACGTCTCCTGTTTAGATTGCCGACTCGGGCATTTCCCTGCCAAGATTGCCGATTCGGGCTTCTCTCGGGCGGCTCCCTGCTCAGATTGCTGCTTCGGACGTTTCCGTGCCCGAATTGCGGATCCTGGCAATTCCGTGATCACATCATTGCCCATTCGAGCCTTTCCGTGCTCGGCGGGAAGCGGCAGACAGCACGTACGAAATCTGCAGCCCCGCGTATCCTCCTCTGGGGGTCGGCGAACGAGCGTGCAGTCCCCTGGGATACGTCGTTGCTCGGGCAGTATGGTCGGAAAACGCCAGATTTGTTCTAAGCGCGCGCGCGCGCGTCGCCCCTCAGTGCGCGGGCGAACACATTGTGCTGCATGGTGTAGACACGTGTGTGTTGGGTGGTGCTGCTCCGCGCCCACTGCCACGTCGCCCCAGCACAAGCTGGCCGCTCCGGCCACTCCTGCCGAGACTCCTTCCGCGGCAAGTGCCCCCCTCCCCCGCCTGGCTTCCGCGGCCGCCCTCTTCCTGCTTCCCTCTCTTGCACCCAGTCCGTCAGCATGCCACGCGCCCAGGGCTACGACAGCGCGCGAGCGGATCGCCTCTGCCGCGCTGCGACGTAAAAATATATCCTGGCGAAGTACCCAAACATATGCAACTGTCAGTACCGCAAGGAGAGTGGGACGAAAGGGGGTGAGCTCCTCATGGGGCCACGAGACGTGATACGGGTATGCCGACATGGGCGGGGGGGCGTACGTGGGCACCGCCGCCAAGGCTTTCGGTGGAGCTCCCTACGGGCAGGCAACGAAACGCTGTACTGGGCTGGCGCGGACGCATGAGATCACAGCTACTGGGGCCTTCGGTGGAGCTCACCGTGGGGCCACGAAACGCTGTACTGGGTGGCGCGGACGCATGCGATCACAGCCACTTGGGCTTTCGGTGGGGCTCGCAGTGGGGCCACGAAACGCTGTACTGGGTGGCGTGGACGCATGTGATCACAGCCACTGGGGCCGTCGGTGGAGCTCCCTCTGTGGCCACGAAACGCTGTACTGGTACTGGGTGGCGCGGACGCCTGCGACCGCTGCAACCGGGGCCTTCGATGGAGCTCTCCATGGGGCCACGAAACGCTGTACTGGGTGGCGCGGACGCATGCGATCACAGCCACTGGGGCCTTCGGTGGAGCTGCCTATAGGGCCACCAAACGCTTTACTGGGTGCGCTGAAATCGTGGACACGCGGAGGGCAGGGATGGGGAGGAGGGGCGAGGAGGAATACAGTAGGGGCGTTGACCTAAGGCACCCCAAATAAGGAACGAGGCCACTTTGTCCCATACGTGAAACTTCGCTTTCCCATCGAAGCCCAAAACCAAAGGCGAACTGCAAAACAACTAAGGAACACCGAGCCCCTCCCCAACGAGAAGGGTTCCTTCCTCAGCGCCCCGACTGTAGGAGGAACGCGGGGCGCTGTCTCTTCAAACCGAGCCCCCAACACCACGGGAAAGTTTGGACAACAATGCTCGCGTGATGCTGACCCGATGCCGTGGCGTGCCGTCCTCCCGCAGGTCCGACTGCGCCACACCAGTGGCCTCGCTGAGGTGCGCCAGGTCGGGCACCGGGGCCTCCCGCGCCGGCGTCGCGGGCCGCGCGCTGCCGAGGGCGCGGGCGCAACTGCTCGGGCTGGCATGATATTCGGGGGGGGCGCCGAACCTTCCGACGGAGCGTCCCTGCCTTCCCCCACCCCAAGCCCACCGCCGACGCCACGCGCTCATCCCCCCCCCCGAACCCAAGGGGGGGCGAATGTCATGCCATACGGAGTAGCCTTGCGAAGGACCCAACCACACGTAGCTACGAGCAGCGCAAGACAGGTAGTAATAGAAAGGGGGGGCGGGCAAGAGGGCTGGGGCGTGTATGCGGAGGGCGAGGACGCATCGCAGCCAAGGGGGCAGGAATGAGAGAAGCGAAATGAAGAAACGTTGGGGATCCGTACGGAGACACGAACGCCATGCGAGCGCGGCCACTGGGGCCTTTGGTGGAGCTCCCAATGGGGCCACGCATAAGAGGTGTGCCGAAATGGGCGGCGAAAGCAATACAGACACTGGGGCCTTCGGTGCACCTCCCTATGAGGCCACGAAGCGTGTGAGGGTTATGCCGAAATCAAAGGCGGCCGCCATGGGGCCACAAAACTAGTGAGGAAAGCATCAAAATGAAGGGCGGCCGCCATGCGACCGCTGCCACCAGGGCCGTCGGTGGCGCTCTGGGCGGGGCCATGGACCACGTGAGGGGTGTGACGAAAGAAGGGGCGGCCGCCATTACCTTCACTGTCGTCATCATCATCATCATCATCATCATCATCATCATCAGCAGCAGCAGCAGCAGCAGCAGCATCATCAGCATCATCATCATCATCATCATCATCATCACCACCTTCATTACTATCACCATCAACACCGCGCCCATCATCGTCATCTTCATCATGATCATTATCGCCATCACACATACATAATTAATCACCAACCATCACCCATCATCATCCCATCATCATCACTACCACCATTGCCATCACCATCAGCATCATCAGCGCCATCAGCATCATCAAAATCATCATCATCAGCAGCAGCAGCATCATCTTCCAAACATCATCAGCATCATAGTCATCAGCTTCCAAGCATGATCATCATCATCAACATCATCATCACCATCATCATCGCCCTCCAATAATCATCACCAAGATCACCGTCATCACCATCATCATCACCATCACCACCACCTTCCAATATCACCTCCAGCATCACCATCATCACCATCACACTTACCACCGCGACCACCATCTTCGGTGGCAACTCATGGGAGCCTCCCATACCATCTTGTCGGCTCGTGCGAATCGACGCTAGTCGACGCTAATCGACGCTAAATCGACCCTAAATCGACGCTAATCGACGCTAACCAACGCCAAAGCGGCGCTATCTCATCGACTCCCAGACGCTTATCGACGTTAATCGACGCTAACGACGGAATTTAGAGGGTATACCAGGCTCCCACGATTTGCTACCGAACACCATCGTCAGCCCGCCCCCCGCTGCGGCCGCCTGTGGGTCGTACACCAGGGTGGGCTGCGTGGGCGTCAGGGCCAGGATGAGCTGCGCCTGCCCAGGGAGCAGGTCGACGTGGGGCACCTGCGCCTCGTAGGAGGAGGAGGTAGGGAAGGGATGATGAGCAGGAGGAGGACGACGACGACGAGGAGGACGAGGAGGAGGGCGTGAACAGCAGGTTCGTGCTGTGACGACTGGCGCATCTGCTTCTCGCACCGCTGGGATCGATCAGCCTTAACGCGATCGCAGCTATCCGACGGCGCCGATCGGTCGAGACCGGCCCACTCCAGGCCACGTTCCACCTCGAACGTCCGCGGTGGGGTCGCCACCCCGTCGACACGACACGAGCCTACCGCTCAGACGGGGCGGCGGCGAGGGGGCGGGGAAAAAGTTTATTGTATACCGTTCTTCGCTCACTGAGTTGGGGTCAGCGAGTAAGAGGGAGGGCGGGGGCGAGGAGGGGAGAGGGGGAGGGGTCTCGGAGAAGGCGGGGTGCTTCTCGGAAGCGAGCTGGAGGCTTCGAGCACGGCACTTGTTGGAGGCCACCCTGCCTTCCGGAAGGCACCCTCGCAGGGCTTCTGTAGGCCTTCTTAGAAGGGCTGCTTCGTGGACGAGATTCCGAGAAGGCCTTCAAAGAAGCCTCCAAGAAGGACTCTCACAGGGCTTCTGAGAAGACCACAATGTCTTCTTAGAGACGAAGGCTTAAAATTACTCCGACGGAAGGATCCTGCACGACAATCTATTTAACTTGCCCGTCGTTTTTCCTCGTCGCCCTGGCGTAGGCCCTCCTCCCGCCCTGTGTTGCGTCCGTCCCCTCCTCCTCCTCCTCCTCACCCTCCTCCTCTTCCTCCTCCTGCTCTTCCTCGTCCTCCGCCACCTCCTCATCATCATCGCCATCCTCGTTCCATGTCTTATCCTCCTCCTCCTCTTCCTCCTCCTCCTCATCATCATCATCATCCTCCTCCTCTTCTTCCTCTTCCTCTTCCTTTTCCTCCTCCTCTTCCTCTTTCTCATTCTCCTCATCTCCATCCCGCCTCTTCTCCTCATGCACCTCTCCTTGAATATGGCTGGAGCACGCATGACGCTTTTCCTCGGCACCCTCGCCGCCACGGCCAGAAGGGTCGCTTTCTCAGGTGGCTGGATCGCGAAGCCGTTGGGGCAACCCCGCGGGCCAGGCTGTTGGGCCAACCCCGCGAGCAGCTGGGGTGCGGGAACAAGCCGTTGCGACATCCCCGCAGGTCTCGAGCTCGTCGCGGCCGTCCTCAGGCGAGGCAAGCGCGAGGTCCAGCCCTGCCGCGAGACTTCTTCGCGTTTCACTCACAGACGAAGTTCCCGCTCGAGACTTCTGCCATGTGGCTTGTGGTGCTCAAGTGCTCAAGTGCATTGCCTGGTAGTAATTGTCGGTGACCCTTTCGGATTGCAAACATGAAGTGCGGGCCCCATAGGGAGGGGGCTCCTGCCAGAGACTTCGCCGCCATTCACTCACAGACGAGGCCCCCGCTTGAGACCTCCTCACGATTTGCCCCTTCGGGGTGCTCAAATGCTATGCTCGGTAGAGTTTGCCGATACCCCGCTCGGATTACAAATACAAAGTGCGGGCCCCATAGGGAGGAGGCTCTCGCCTGAGACTTCCCCGCATTTCACTCACAAACGAGGCCCCCCGCCTGAGGCACCCTCACGATTTACCCCCTTGGAGTGCTCAAATGCTTTGCCTGGTAAAGGTTCCGATAACCTGCTCAGATTACCAACATGATGTGCGGGCCCCGTAAGGTTGAGGCTCCCGCCTGAGACTTCCTCTCAATTTACTCACAGCCGAAGCCCCCGCTGGAGACATCCTCACGATTTGCCCCCTTGGGGTGCTCAAATGCTATGCCTGGTAGAGCTTGCCAATAACCCGCTCGGATTGCAAACATGAAGTGCGGGCACAATAGGGAGGGGGCTCCCGCCTGAGACTTCCTCGCAATTCACCCACAAACTAGGCCCCGTTTAGAGACATCCTCACGAGTTGCCCCCCTGGGGCGCTCAAGTTCGATGCCTGGTAAATGTTTCCGATGACCCGCTCGGATTACCAACATGAAGTGCGGGCCCCATAGGGAGGGAGCTCCCGCTTCAGGCTTCCAACAAGCTGAGTACGTGACTGTGTGAGTGTGTATGGTAATGATGGATGATGATAAGATTGATGATGATGATGATGATGATGATGATGATGATGATGATGATGATGCTGATGCTGATGCTGATGCTGATGCTGATGCTGATGCTGATGCTGATGATGATGATACTGATGATACTGATGATACTGATGATACTGATGATAGTGATGGTACTGATGATGATGATGATGATGATGATGATGATGATGATGATGATGATGATGGTGATGCTGACGATGATGATGATGGCCCTGATGATGAGGATGATGATGCTGATGATGTGATGATGATGATGGTGATAATGGTGATGGTGATGGTGATGTGTGATGGTGATGGTGATGATGATGACGATGATGGTGATGAGCGAGTGTGTGTGAGTTTGAGTGGGTGCATGACGATGACGATGATGATGACGATGCTGGTGGTGATGATAAGGTATGTGCATGTCGGTGGGTGTGATGCTGCACGGGGTGTCCACGTGGGAAGCGAAGAATATGATGATGACAATTATGCTGATGATGATGATGATGCTGATAATGATGATGATGCTGCTGCTGCTGCTGCTGATGATGATGATGATGATGATGATGATGATGAGTGCGTGGGTCTGTGGACGCGTGAGTGAGGAAGAGAGAGGCGAGGAGGAAGAGGATGAGATCCTGCACGAGGGGTGTTCAGAGAAACCAAGAAGCCCACCTTGGATGTAGGGAATAAGCTTTTAGTGAAAGCCCCTTGAGTGAAAGCGGCCTGGGGCACTCCACGATTCCGCGCACGGCACCGCACGCCGAGCACACCAGGGCAGAATAGCTGATCGACGTCCAAGAACAAATCACTCAATGCATGCGGCAAGACAAGCGCCGCTTCGCGAGACCGACGCCGGCCCACACCGGCACACTGCGAACGCCGGTGTCGAGTGAACCGGCGCAGAACTCCTCGACCGACCCGCCTGGGCGGGCGCTCTCTCCAATTCTCTCCCCGACCCCTCTCGGCGCCGCCGCTGAGCCTCGCTGGCGCCGACCAGCGCGAGGATGTCCCCAGACGGCTCGCCGCCGTTCGCCTCCGCCACCTCGCGCAGCCGCGCCCGCAGCTCCAGGAGCAGGCCCTCCACCAGCGCGCCGTGCTCGTGGCCGCGCGCGAACTCGGCAAAGGGCCCCGCGCCCGCGCCCGCGAGGTGGACCTGCACGCGCCGCCCGGTGATCACCGGGGCGGCGGCAGAGCCGCCGAAGCGCGAGGCGAACTCGGCGATGGCCCGGGCGACTTCTGGGGGCGGGGCCACGAGCCCTGGCAGCCTGCAAGGGTGGAGGGAAGAAGATCCACACCCACAAGAATCGCCCCGACCAGCGAAGCCGATTAGGAAACGCACCCAAGGAGTGAATCGTGCAGGGCAGGGCTGTCTGGGGAACGCCCCGGGCCGTTTAGCAGACGTCAATGGACGGGTCCGGGTGGTTCTTCCTCCCTTGAGAGAGGGCGCCGGCTGGACTCATGAGATCCAGGCGTCGCTCCGTCTGTCAAGAACGAACGAGCTTGCCTGGATTCGGGCCGCGGGGTCCTCACCGATCGGTCCGGCCCCAAAACTGCCCCGCAGAACAACGGGGTCTGGGGGTCGGGTCAAGTCTTTCTACGATCTCAGGGTGCACCTGCACACCGATGCTGGCCGGACCCCTCCTGGGCCAAGAGTCGGTGTGCGCGCCCCCCTGGCCTGGCCAGGAGGGCACATCTGCACCGATCCTGGGCCTGGCCAGGATGGGTGCGGGCGTGGGTCTGGCCATCGCTCGGACGTCCATTCCCTGTGTTTTTTTCGGTTTCGCGCGTGGTTTTTTCGCCAACTGATCAAGGATGCTCCTCGACGGTCCTCGCCGAAGGAAAAATGCACACGTCCGAGCGATGCCGAGGGGTGTGCACGTGGCCGGCGCCCCCCCCGGAAGACCTGGACACGCCAGAGGCGCCGAGGCGGAGACGCCGCCGCCGCAGGGCGGCGACGAACGCGGCGCCGCCAGCCGCGAGCGCGCCGCCGCCGCACGCGGGCGCGGCGCCCCCCGAGGCGCTCGCGCCGCCCGGCGCGAGCGCGGCCCCGCCGGGAGGCGCCGCGCCCGCGCCGGCTCCGGCCGCGGCGCGCCGCGCGCTGGCCGCCGCCGCGCCGCGGCCCCTGGCGGCGGCCAGCGCCGCGGCGCCGACGAGCACGCCGGCGCCGCCCGCGCGCCGCCGCGGCGGGGCTCCGGAGCGCCAGGTTTCGGGCGGCGCGCGGGCGGCCGCCGGCCAGAGCGCGGGCGCTGCAGCCGCCGCGGCCACCGCCGCCATCGGCGCGGCGGCTGGGCACTTCCGGGGCCAGAGGAGTGGAGCGAGGAGCACAGAGTGAGCAACGTGCTTGTGTTTTTAAGTGTTCGATCCATGGACCACTCGCCACGAGTCCTGGCCTCTGAAGACAGCCGGAAGACCGCCGAAAACCGCCAGGGGGGCGCGCGCCCCGCCACGGGCGAGGAGTACGGAATGAACCCCCGTGCTTGTGGAGCCGCACGTGGACCCGCGTGCGTGGAGCCCTACGCCTGCTGTGAAACTTGAGGTCCCGTGCGGAGCCTGAGTCCGGGAACCAGAATCCGTACAATTGGGAGGTCCAATCTGGAAACTGAACCCAGAAACCCCAAACTGGAATCTGGATATCTGGACTGCGAGGTCCAATCCAGAAGCTCAACCCAGAAGCCAGAGACCGGATATCTGAACTCCGAACACCGACTTCAGAACTCCGACTTCCGAAGTGGACCTCTTCGTCTGGACTATCCAGATCGCCACTCGCCTTCTCAGGCAATGCCGACGGTCTCTCGAGATTTTGCTGTGACGTTTTCCCTCTGGCCGACAGAGCTTCGCGTGGGCCCCTTCCGTCGGAGGCCGAACTGGTGCCCTCTCAATGTCCTTTGTCCTGGTCTGACGAAGTAAAGACCACATCGACGCACGTCAGACTCCTCCTCCATCTCCTCCTCCTCTTCCACCTTATCCTCCTCCTCATCCTCCTCAACCTCCTCCTCCTCCCCCTCCTCCTCCTTCTCCTCCTCCTCCTCTTACACCTCGTCCTCCAATCCTCCTCTTACACCTCGTCCACCTCCTCCTCCTCCTCCTCCTCCTCCTCATCCTCCTCCTCCTCCTCCACAACAACATCATCCCCTTTCACCTGCTCCGCCTCCTCCATCACCTCCAAAGTCCCTTTGCATGATTGATAACTCCTCCCTGTTGCACCCCGACACGTGTCGGTTGGACGGGCCGGGCGTTGCGCCTGAGATTTACTCACCACTGATGGTCCTTAAGTTAAAAACTTGCAACAGGTTCACGGATGGATGGTGGGTCGTTTTCAAAATGTGGCTCTCGCTTTAGCGCCACGCAAATCTCGTCTTACAAGTTGCAAGAGCTTCACGGATGGAGGGCGGGCCGTTTTCCAAATGTGGCTCTCGCCTGAACGCCGCGCGCATTCGTCTTCAAAGCTAAAGAGAGCTTCACCGACGGAGGGCAGGCGGTTTTCACAATATGGCTCTCGCATGAGCGCCACGCAGAATCGTCATAAAAGATTGCCCGAACTCCGCGGATGGAGCGGCTCCTTTTCGAATGGCCCTCGCCTGAGCGCCGCGCACAGTCGACTCAAGATTCGGAAGCCGTCTCCGAGGTTCAGATGGCTGACGTCCCAGAAGCGGTGTATGGCACGGTGTAGGACTGTCAGGGCTCAACTGTCACGTTGATTCGCGGTGTTGAAATCTGAGGAACGGTTTTTCTGGTACGATTATGACCATCCAGAGGCAACATCAACGTTGATTCGCGGCGCTGAAGCCCCAAGAACTGTGTTTTGGCATGGTTCGCAATGTTCAAACGGTTGTCTTCCCACGGGGCACTGCCTTCCGTGTGGGGGCCTATGAAGAGGGGGGTTATTGTAACATCGTTGGCAGGCCTAGGGTTTACACTGGTCCTCCTCCACCTCCTGCTGGTTCTCCTCCTTCTACTCCTCCTCCTCCTCCTCCTCCTCCTCCTCCTCCTCCTCCACCTCCCCCCAGCCCACCTCCTCCTTGTCAATTGACCTAGGCCCTCTGGCTTCGCACAAGTGTTATCTTTGCTCGCCGCGTCCGAGTAGAGGTGACCCCCGCGCGTGAACGATCAGGATGTCGCGCCCGTGAAAGCAGGCAGAGGGGAAGGGCAAGCACTACCACACGCTCGTGCCGTGAGGAATTGCGCCTTGGTCTCCGAACCCACACGAATCCCTAAGCCTCGAGCGATCGCACTTTGCCGATATCACAGATCGCTCGACATCGGCCGATGTCTGACCACTGGCGGCGTTCCGCGTGAGCAACCGCGCCGGGGTCGCCGCCACGTCCACGCGGCACAACCCTACCGTGAAAGGATTCAGAGGGAGGAATTGTCAACGAGAAGTTGGAGAGGACGAGGATTAGGTCAGGCATGCCCTCCTACAGGCGCATCTTGGGAGGCCAACAAAAATCTGAAATCAAAAACGTCTGAAACTGAAACTGGAATGGGGCGGAAAGCTGCCCGAGTACTGAACATGCCAAACAGCGAGCTGCTAGCACACAAATGACTGACATGCAAAAAGACTGCTAATCTCCCTCACGCTCATCACCGAGAAGCGACCACCACGGGCGACAAAACCGCCTGGCGTGCGAGCTCAACGTCTTGCCACCTCGTCAGTACCAGTCCATGGTAAACGCGCGTCCGTGCGGCCAGCAAGACACGATGCCCCTGCGGACCTGCTGCTGCCCAACGGGAGTAGAGAAGCCCGACGCCGCATGAACCACTCCCTGTCCCGATACCTGCACAACTTGGCTGCCCAGCTTTGGCCATTCCTGGGCCTGTCAAAATGTTCCTGCCAATCAAGCCCCCCCCTAGAAGCATCTCTGGGACCGGACGCCCTGCTTGTTGCACTCCGCGGCGGCGGCGCGGCCACGCCTCCTGAAATAACACGTTGGCTCCTCGCCAGGGCGGGGCGGTACCCGCATGATGGTGGCAACCATCCGACGCTGCAGAATATCCACCTCATCAGCTATACGACGCTGCGGATGCCATCGGGGCGATCGGAAGTCCATCTGAGGTAAGACTGCCTGGTCCAAGAGGCGGAGGCGCTGACGCATCGTAAGCCCGCGCGCGGCTTTGGACCCCAGGTTGGCCCAAAAACCTCGCCACATGGCAGCGCGGGTGTTCCGCCAACACGCCCAGATGGATCCGGTATCCTGCAACGTGTGGCCCAGGACGGCAAACTCGCGGACCCGGTGCCAGTTCTCGGGCAACTCCTCCAGGCCTGTCCCCGCCCAGGCCATGCACGACCGGGAGGAGGGATTGATGTGGAGGCCCCAGCTCTGTTCCAGCTGCCTCTCGAAATCATCAAGGATGCTGGTCGCTCCATGCAGGCTCCCGGAAGTACCGAACAGGTTGTCCACGTATGAGCACACGCACAGCACGTGGTCATCTGCCCGGAAACCACGACGTGTTAGGCTAGGGCAGTGGGAGCGTCGGCGGAGGCGGGTGGAGCGTTATAGGGCCGAGCGGTGGGGGTGTGGGGGATGATGGTGGGTTGGGGGGCGGTGGGGATTTGGGGGCGTGGTTGTGAGTCGTATGTATTGGGTTCTCTCGGATGGGGTATCTTGGGATTGGCGGTCCGCGTTCGTTCTTGCGCGGGTGGTGGGGTGGTCGGATGGGGTCTGGTTCATCCTGTTGATGGGGGCGGACCTTGGGCAGCATTTGCTGGCGGAGGAGATAAGCAGCACCTCCATTGGAACGCCGTGCGCCCCAAGCCACCGGGCGATGCGGAGGAACGGGAGCGAGTCGTGGTAGCTCTCGATGTCGGCCTGGGCCTCAGTCGGGCCTGTCCCTCTACAGGAGCAAAAGTCAAAAATAATTGACAAAAATAGTCTGGGGACGATTTTCGGGGCATCTTTGACTATATTTGAGCATTCGGTATTCTTCATTTTTCGTCCAAAATCCCCCTGCAGGGGGACACGCCCGACTCGAGCCTGGGCGATCGCGGACCGGCCGAAGTTGTCGATGCCCTTCCCGATCACGGACTGCAGACCGCGGGCCACGTCCAAGCACCGGGCGCGCGGGCGAGCCCCGGCGAAGCACTCGGGCACCTCCGGCAGCGCCTCGTCGACCTGGCCCTGGCAGGCCCGAAGCAATGCGGAGCCCATCACGACTGTGTGTTTGCATACTCCTCCTGTAGAGGGGCATGCCCGAGAAGAGGAGGAGGAGGATGGAGGAGGAGGAGGAGGAGGAGGAGGAGGGAGACAAGGGAGGAGGGCGAGGGCGGGGCGAAGGAGGACGAGGAGGCGGCAGGAAGAGGACGGGTAAGATGACGAGGAGAAAGGCGAGGAGGGAAAAGCGCGGGGCGGGGGTGGCGACGGGTGGGTCAGGAGGGCCTGTCAAGGAGGGGTGGAGGAGGAGCAGCAGCAGCAGCAGCGGCAGCGGCAGCGGCCCGGACGAGAGGGGATGGGAGCGGCGCGGGCATGTTCACCAAGGGTGCTGGGGCTCTCGCCAGACCGAGTGTCGCACAGCGCTGCTGCCCATGTGGCTGAGCGCACCCGCGTCCCCTTCCCATTCCGCTGTTCGTTGCCCCTGCCCGCCCCCAGAAAACGCAGCGAGCACCTGCATACACCACCACCGTGCCGGGCCAGGGCCATCCTGGGCCCTGTCATGAAATTCACGTCGTCCTGGTCCCAGGCCAGAAGGGTCAACGAACCATCCAACGGCCCAAGATGGCCCTGGCCAAACGCGGCGGCGGTGCGCAAATGGCTTCCCTGGCCCCCGACGTCGTGACTTGTACGCTACCCTGGCCCTTGGAGTCCTCGATCATTCCCTGGGGCTGAATATATCCCGAATCGCGTCTGGTGACGATCGCGGGCCCAGGGAGGTCCCCCCGCAGACGAGAATTCCAAACCACCCCGCCAAAAAAAACTGTCATGATCACTTCATGACGCGAGTGGGTCGGACAGGCCGCCCATCCGCAGTGCGGTTCCCTCCGCAAGTATAAACACAAGGGCCAGTCCGCCCTCCCTACCCCACCCTACCCCTCCCAGCCTTTCGTTCCCTCCCTCCCCCCCTCCGTCCCTCCCTCCCTCCTCCGCCCCTTCCCCCTGCTCCTCCCTCCCTCCAGTCTCCCCCGTCGTCACCGCCGCCTTTTCCCGTGGCATCCCCCCCCCCTCCCCCGGAGCCAGGAGGAATGTCGGCGCCTGGGTAGCTTTCGACCGCCCGCCATCGCGGGATCTAGATACTGCCCGTACTGACGCTTTTGACTTCAAGGTTCCCTCCCCGCGGCTCCCCAAACGGGGGGAGGGACCCAGACGGCGCTGCGGGGCACCGACGACTCCTCCTGCCGAGTCGGTGCGATCCCCCCCCTGAAGCCCGCCCCGCGCCCTCCCCCCACCCACCCTCCGCGCCGTTCCCTCCCCAGGGCTGAACCTGAACGGTGGTTTTCGTTTTCGCTTTGTTTTTCGTTTTTCCTCGATTTGCCTTCGTTTCGACTTGAATGCAAAACAAAACGAAAAACATAACAGTCCACGAGACGGCCAAAACACCGATTAGGTCCAGCCCTGTCCCTCCCATCCTTCCCCCCTTCTTCTCCACGAGAAGGATATGTTCCGTCCTTCGGGTGCGCCGAAGAAAACGGGGTGCCAGGAACAGACGGGGTGCACATCATGGCCCGGGGCCAGGTGAGCGGACCAGGGGGGCGTCAGGGAACGAGTTTTTGGTTAACGGGCCACGAAATCTGGGCGAGATGCTGCCCCTGGCCATGATATCGATAACCCCCTTAGTCCCAATCCCCTCTTGGACGCCCCCGAACCTGTCCTTCTCCCATCCACCCAGAGCCACCCGGGCGCGGGCTGCAGCTTGTCATCAGGCCGAAGACGAGACCAGCACGAACAGAAAAATGGCCGGCGCCAGAAGCAAGTCGGAAAGACTTCAAAACGGACCGCGGCTGGCGCGACGCTTCCGGCGCCACACCAACATGCCTGGCAAAAGCGCGGGGCTCACGATGCGTGCGATGGGGGCGATGTCTCGCGACCCGAAAAAAAAACGGAGGGCGGATTCCAGGCGTAGTGGATTCCAGGCGTAGTGTCGGAAACTAAGTATTCCGCGCGGCTAGCGCGACACACTCCTCCTCCCCCTCGTCCTCCGTCCGAGACCTCCCGCTCGTCCTTCCTCGACCTTGAACTCCTCCTTGGAAGCCAACATCCGCACACTGATCCAATCAGCACAAAGGCAGCCTAGTCATGTTCCGAAGCCTGCGTCTGGACGGGGATCAAGAGAGCATCAAATGTTGTTAATTCCCGGCTTGGCGTTAATGTCGTGTCTGCCGGCTGGCCCCACAATATCGGGACCGCTCGCTTGCGTCCAGCAGGACAAGAGGTTGTGTCCCGCGCCCCTGGCCACAAAGATACCTCCATTCTGCGTGCCAGATGTGTGTCTGGGTGCCCCACGTGCGAAGTGCATCGCAGACTTGCGCGCCCGAGAACCTAGAACAATTTCTTATTCTAGGAATTGGCACATCTTGAACCGCCTTCTTGATGGGACAGCCGCCACCCCTTCCTCCTCCCCCTTCCCCCCATCATCCTTTTCCTCTCCCTGCAAATCTAAGGGGGAGATACTGACGATTGCAGCGCGCTGTTTTACAGTAAGCTGTCAGCGACGCGAATTACTACGCCACAAAACGGCGGTCATAGTTCTTGAGCCAAACGCTGGCAGCTGCACAGTAGCATGGGGGGCCACACATGGGCGTAAACGACATGCGACTTTATTTAAATTTGAATATTCGCATGCCTGCACATGTCGATCAGGCGCGGTGGCAATGTTCGAATCGAGGTACGCCTATGTAAATCAACATATATACGTATACGCATGCACAAAGTAAGGAAAACACTGGGTAGCGTCCACACAACACAAAATGCAGCACGCGATTGACAAGAACCGACTTCAACGCTACGCATGGCTTAAATGACAAGGCGGCCCCAAAAAAGACTGGGAAGTATCGCTGGATATCTGTTCAATTGTTGTGTCCTACACTAGCTCTATCAAACAAGAATGAAATGAAATGGCCTTGCTTAAGTGCCGACCAACCAGAGAGAGAGAGAGAGGGAGAAAGAGAGAGAGGAAAAAAAAAACGGTAGGTGAATGTTCGATGCTTGGCTGTCACTCATGCATGGCCTCCGTGCCCTCATGGAACTCGACCGCGGACTTTTGCCATGTCCTTCGGCCTTACCCGCATCGATGTGCGCGAACTCCCTTAACCACGGTTGCGCTCCCGGGCGAAGATGCTAGCCCAAGCCTCAGGCTCACCGAACCGGCAATCGCTCCTGATTTCATATCCTTCATCGCGGCCATTCCACGCGCCGATGGCGTTGTCAAGGTAACCCCAGGGCTCCTTGCAGGACTGATCATTAATCCCGTTAAAGGCTGCCCGATGCTTCCCAGTGGGGGAAATCGGGATGTCTTACGCGGGGCGCAGCCCACGTCAAGTTCGATCTTCCAGCCCCTGCTCGTAGGCTGTCCCAGATCGAGGGTCCATCGCCCAAGACTGGTCAATGGCCTATTGGTTGCGGCCACCCATAGAGATCTTAGCCCACCACAAGATTTCCTCTTCCAGGCGAACACGACGGCCAGGGGGGCGTCGGCGCACTCAATCACCACCGCTCCCGTTATCCATCTGCATGAACGACTCCTCCCTGCACGCGGTCACGGGCAGCCTTGCGCGGCACCAGGTTAGCTCAGGAGCGTACACCGGCTCGGTCTCGCACGCGCGCGGCCCCCGGACGGCGGCGCGAAAGTCCTCGTGGAGCACGCCCAAATTGTCGCGAACGTCGATGAACTCCTGCGCCAGCTCACGAGTTAGATACCGAAACGCAACCACGCCCGTCTGAACGACTAAATGATGGCCGCGATGGATCGCTGAACCGCAGCACAGCAATTCGATGGCCATCACGGCGGCGCTTCCCAGCCAGATGATGCCGAAGCAAGTCGCGACCGAGTCTCGCTCCTAGAGCCAGGGCGCGTTGCGAGGCAACGTTCCGGTCGCGCGCTGGACGGGGGATCTGGGAAGACACTCCCAGGCCGGGGTTGCCACCCCGGTCGTTGGGGGAGCAGGCTTGGATGGCCATTGCCAGCCGCGCCCAATTATCGCCCTCGTCCCAACGGCGATCCGTCAATACGCCGCGCCCCTCCGGCGGGCCTCCGAGGTGAAACTGGGGCCGCGCGCGGCAAACGCTGCCGCGTGGCATATCGAATGAGTCCTGCTATCTGGCGAAATCGTCGCCGGCGGCGACGTTGCCCAACGGGCCCCCAGCATTGCGCGCATCGAAATTGGCTCAGCTCTTGGAGCAGTCGCAGTCAGATTCAGAGCCCCCCTCGGCTGCCTACGGAATTTGGGATCGCGGCCACGGACATTGGACGATTGGGCCAAGTCGGACCAAATTGCCCTGCATCTCAACAAAGGGCCACGGGGCTTCGCAGAGAAGCCGGGCCTAGAAATCTACCGAGCAAGCAAACGCGCCCCTCAGCCAACTGGACTCGGCGAGCGGCGCGGCGCAAGAGGTCCGCGAGGCGCCACTGAAGGCAATGAACCCGCCTCTGGCGCACCCATGGGCAGGCCCTCGTCGGCGACCCCTTCGCCTTCGCCCCCACCTCTCTTACATGCGTTACCCAGGCGCTCTGGCTCCATGCATGGTACTTCGGCCGGCAGGCTGGGCGCTTTCTCCCCCGCTGCACCAGGTTGGCCGCGACCGATTGCGTCGGCGAGGCGCCCGGCTCTCTTCGGCGCACCCGCCCCGAGGGTTAGCACGGCCAGGCGCGCTCGAGGCGACCGGCGGGCGAGGCGCCGCCGCCTCGAGGGGCGACGCGCCACGTGGAACCTCTGCGTTAGCTCCGTCTGGACCAACCCCCCGGTCGCCAGCGGCACGGCCCACGGCCCCGAGAAGCCCAGGCATATGGTCAAGGGCCTGGTCGGGCAGAGCACACAAGCGCCGTTAGTCTCTCGAGATTGCACTACCTCGTCGACGCCTTGGTCCGTGGCGCTGGTGAGCTCGCGACCGATGGCGGCCCCCTCGGCGCCGCGAGTCGCCTCGCCCCTGAGAAGCTCGTCACTCACGCCCGCGGCCGCGTCGCCAACTTCCTCAAGTTCGCGGCCGTGTTCGAACAGCTCTCGGCCGGCCGCGGCCCGCCACCTCACTCAGAGCTTTCTGGAAACTTTCAAAACCCGGTGATCACCAAGCGCATGTCCAGCTGCATCGGCGACCATGCGCACCAACTGGGACACACGGACTTTTACCACATCAACAACCTCATCGCTTCCCTACTTTGAAGCGACGGCGTCGCGCACCAGAATACTGAATTGCGCGACGAACCCCATCGCTTATCGTCGCGACAGGCGATGCATCCCTTGGGAAATGGTCCTGGGTCGGCCACGTCGGCCACCTCGCCGTCGATGGTCAGCTGCGCGATCGGCTCGAGCCCGACAGCCGCCGCGTCTGCGCCAGCCATCGCGAGGAGCCTAAGCAACAGGTCAGTGAGGGGAAACGAAGAAGAAGAGCTGAATTGAGGTCTGTCGCGGGGACTTGTCGTGGAATGGCGATGGCCAATTTTGCACTCGGCTGTTGGAGCGAACGAATGCGCCCCCCCCCCCCCCCCTGCGGCGCTGACACGCGCCGCTCATGCACATGCTCACTCCACAACAGCTCGTGTGCTTTTCTGTGGGATATGCTAAATTGTCGCCAGAACATACTTCAGCGACCTTGACGCACCAACACCTTACGTTATATTGTTACCCAGTACTTGCACACCTCAATGTGCCTTACTTTTATTAGTCTTCACCTGCCGCCGATAGCCATTGCAGTTGCTGCGTCAATCGTGAATTGCATACTGCTGGTTGTACACAATGTCCATTAACACTGACTTAGGGCCAAGGACCACAGATGCCCCTTTCACCGTTCCAAAGCACTCCGCATCTCCAGATGGCAAGGCGACAACCGATTGGGTCGAGCTCCATGACCCCATCATGTGGTTACCCCACATCACTACCCCACCGCTGGTGGATTCCCCCGTTTCCTTACATCCAGCAGAATCCGCGTCAGTCCACTCTGTGAATCACCCAGGCATATCTTACAATGTTTATATGTATCTTGTCGAATCGTGAATGTTTGCAGATTCCCCGAGGCTGACCCATGTTTTCCACGATCCTACCGCGTGCGAGGCCATGCGTTTGCATTGATTGTCTGCAACAAACTGAGTTCCCTGCGTGTCTTGCTCTAAGAAAACTTGCTCGCGCCACCAACACCTGGGATTTGATGGCCAACCGCTCGTGCTGCATCTTCGCCAGCCTCCTCCCAAAGCAACCTCTCCTGGCACCTCGCACCTCACTGCATCCTCTTCCATACCCACTTCCCTGTCAACGATCTCAGCATGACTCTGATCTGGCTCGCACCTCCCGCCTTCATGCCTGGCCGATTTGCCACCCTCATTCCCAGGACATAACCACCCCCTTCGCCTTTGCCTCAAACTACTTATATACGCTGTGTTCGAACCAACTCAGATCTTGTCCACTACCTAACATAGCGAAGACGTCGCCATGAAAAATCATACACAAGCGCCTGTCAGCATGCGTAAACACGCACGGAGATGCTTGCCCTAACGTCCCCATGGGTCTTGCAGAAGTCCATATAGCATGCTTCCCAAATTATTGCTGCGCCACGCGTGCCGTACATCGACTTGAATTACACCACTTTCCAACGGCATAACCTTCCTGCGGAAATTTCGCATAACTACTTTGGGCGGGCGAATGAAGAGGTTCTCGATTGACCGATGAGTGCAGGCATAAGCACCTTATCCTTGTTCGCCCCGCGCGTGCCCAAATCTTTCGGCGCCTGCCTTG